TATGTACGTGTCACAATGATAATTATTTTCTTACCTTAATTAGGGGAGACCAGGATCAGTTGACTATAGGGGTAAGTAGAATAATCGAGGCTACATTAAAAACAAAACGCGAAACACGCGTAAACGTATCTGAGCACGCAGCAGCGACTCAGTCTGCTGTAACATCTTGTTGAGAACACATCTATGATAGAAATTACGCCACAATTTAAAAAAATCGTACACCTAAGTAAATATTTTTATTCTTAAAATTTTTGTTTTACAATCGTATATGATTGTCTGAGATATGTGATTTCTGCTTAGATAGTAAATGTAGTTCTTACTTAATAAAATCCAACAGATTTTTTTTGTTTATGTATCTTTGTATCGTATATTGTTAATGTTTTTAAAAAATAAACGAATGGGGATAATAGACAATAGCATGGAACTGTATGACTCATTTAATGACAACTCTTATAGTACTTACTCAAAATTTTATTTCTTTAAAGATATTTTTCTCAGTGGTAAATGTTATAAATTTAATTCCCTTATGTCCTCGAAAATCCCTTATAATCTCCCTTATAATCTCGAAAACTAGGTCCATTCGTGTTTTTGCATGAAGTGAACAAATTTTGCAAAAAGAAGCATTGTTTTGTCCTGCGAAGCGATGTTTGTGTTTAAAATTTATTTTTATAAAAGTTTTATTAATATGTAGCCAAAGATGTAGCTTAAAATACATTAATCTTTATTTTAATAATCTTAGTCGAATTATCCCAGTCCCAGGGCTAGTTGAATCAGATGGAATGCATTAGAAAAATGCATTTTTTAAATATTAGTTATCAGTTTTCCTTTATTATTAAAATATTATTAGATAGTCAAATATATGTAGTAACTGGTGTAGAATTCATTTTTCCGATAAGTCTCTTAATTTCGTCTGTAAAAATTTAAAACCAAAAAATGAACTTATTAGCTCTGATCTCCTTTACTTTATATTTAATTACTTATTATATTTGTTAATTGTATATAAAACAAGAAATGTTTAAAATAAAATTATTATTATTATTATTATTATTATATACATTAACTATTATATCTTATTAAGACGAAAGTAAATCTTCGTCTTAATAATAAAAGATAATAATTAATACACAATAATAACAATTTTATTTTTAAAAATTTTATTTTTGGAACGAATCAAAATAACTTCGAACTGATATCAAAATGATGAAATATCGATTTTCTAATAAATATGATCCTAATAAATATTACACATTTGCTTATTTAAAAGTCTGACGATGAATATATTCATTTTTTTTTTTAAAGAACATTTATTATTTTTATGAAGCACAGACATTAAAATGAGCTTCAAACTTTGAACAATATTTCGATTCGATGGAATTTCGTTGTCTCGATGTCAATTTGACGTCAATTCGATGAGTCATTTCTCGCTGGGTAAGGGTTAAACTATTTATTATTTTCGTTTATCACTTCCTCCAATTATTCGTGTATTAAGAATGCATTATTCAGTTTGATTTCAAATGCATTATTCAGTATAATTACAAATGTGTATATGTATTATTCAGTTTAATTTGAAATTTAAATTTACTTCTCAAATTTTTAATTGAAATTTTATTTATTTAGATTCCAAAATTGTCATTTATATTACATTCAATACTTGATAAACAATCTATACTTATAAAATATGTTTATAAAACATTATAAATATAAAATAAATTATTAACTAACTGTATTTACATTACAGTTCTGTTGGGAAAAGCGTATATAATTACATACACGCATGCGTGTTTTCTCTTTCAGTCTTAGTCTGCGGAAGTATTGTCATTTCCATATTAGAAATAAGATTGCGGTATCATGAGCCACGAAATGTCAGGGGTCATTGATTGTTTAGGGTAATTCAAAATATTTAGATTGATACAATTAATTAATTTATATAAATAATTCTACTTTGTTGTCCATACTTTATATCTCAGTGGCAATGATCAAGCATCGATAACTCGCATGTGTTATTAATGGTTTTTGTAATGTAAAAGTAATTTTTTAATAATTTAAAAACATTTAATATTATTATAATACAAGATATGTATTGAAAGTTAGAAATTTTTATCTATTTTTTCTTATTTTACTATACTAAAAGTAATCGTTTATCATTTACTTTTTGTATTTCCCCATATATAATATTTTCTATCAAGTGTAATCATGGTTTACACATTAAATATATATTCATAAATGAAATAGGACAATATAAAATAATATATTGTTAAAAATTGTTGACTTAAGTAATTAATTTTATTTTACCTTTATAAGTTCTGTATTTTATCTATAAATTGGTTAATATAGTTTTATTTATAAATTTCATTACTGGATAAATACATTTTTTGAACAACTAAATAAGTAATAAAAAGAAACCAAATGACATACTATTTTAAATTTTAAATATGTAGATGTAGAACAATTATTTTTTTTCTATTTACGAAGCTCTTTTAGTCATATTTGAATTCTATATTCATTTAACATTATAAACAAATTATTCTTCCTACACACATTACAATTTTTCAATAAGTTTAACAGAAATATTCTTCTACCTTACCTTATACATTTTTAAGATGGGTAAGTAATTTTTCTTTCAAATGTTAGGGAGCAATTTTTATTAATGCGTTACTTTTGGAAAAATTGTTGCAAATTATTGTACATATCTCTTTGTGGTGAAGAAATTAAAGTGTTTACATGTATATGATTAGGCTTCTTTCAATAACTCTTTTTTATGATTATTTAATACACAAGGTGTTCCAAGCTTTTCGACACACCGCCTAATAATAATCATAATATCTAGTAGGGATGTGCGGAGAAGCATAGATTATCGATATTTCTTATCAATATGAATCGAAATACGTAATATCGATACGGCAATATTTGGGAATATCATCACCTTTTTGCATGTTTTATTATAGAGACATGCGGAGAACACAAACTTTTGATTAAAAAAATTGGATAAAAAAATTTTTTTTAATTACTAGATAAATTCACTTATTTATCAATAAAATTATAAATATTTTAGTAAATTTATATATAAAATAGAAATGAAAGAAATTTATAAGAATAAAAAATTATGCATTTATATTTTTATACAATACACACATTTGTCATTTTATACAATACGTACATAAATTCATCAACTAACAAAGATAATGTGAAACATAAAATTTCTTTTAATTTTATTCATGATGGCGTTGATCGCGATGTCGTCAATTGTCCCCGAATTGACTGTTCTTGTTACGTTTATGCGGTTAAATTTTGGAAATATAACTTTTTTATCGACTTAATTAATATCTACGTTCTACAGATCCGTATGCTACGATGCGGAAACTAAAAATTTCGATACAAATATCAAATATCAAAAGGAGCAACAATATTTCAAAATATCGATTATATCAGAACATCCCTAATATCTAATAATAACTATAGCACCTTTCGTGGGCAGGTAAAGCGATCTAGTTAAATTGAATAGAAAAATCCTTTACTTTTTTGTTGTAATCTTTTTAGCAATTAGTAATTAAAAATAATTATTTAATAGAAATTTGCGGTTGAACAAATAAAAATTCTTTTCCATTTTACAATTTTTACAATTATTAATAAGAAATTAATTAATAAAGATCTGCAAAATGAATGCACATAAGCGATTTAACAACAAATATGCAGTGAGAAAGAAATCTAGCATTGCTTTTGATGTATATACACATGCATAGTGAGAGATTTAGAAAGAGTGTCTAGCAATTGCGCGAACTGTAGTATTGTCTAATACTAAAAAAATCTTAAAAAGATTTATATAAAATTTAATATTTTTTTTATAAAGATTATGCGTTTTGCGAGTTTCTTCTGTGTCCAGATTTATTCTTGGAATGCCAACGTTTCGTGAACCTTGCAGTCCATTTCATCAGGGCGAGGAGCCTGATCTTTATATAGAAAGTACCCGTGGAAGCCTCAAGAATATCAATATTTTTTAATTTCTGGCATGCAATTTATAATTGTTCTTATTAGAAAAGTGATTTAATTACCTTTAAATAAATTGGTAACATGCTGAACTTGATTTTTATTACTGAATCAAAAAGCAACATAAAATTGATATGATGAGAAGATTATAATCTTGTATTATTGAAGATTATAATTTGTCTGCCATTATATTTTATCATTTTTGCTTAATATGATTTGATTATGTTATGTAAGTATATATAACTATACTTACTTTCATAATACAGAAATAAAATGTTTTTTCTATATGCTTATTATTGCATGAAAAAAAAATTATTTTCATTTTGCAATATTTCGAAAACAAAAAATATTTGCTGCCAACATTATAAAAATTTTTAATTATTGTTTTTAGCCTCATTAATGCTATTTTTCTCAAAATTGTGATGTAACAGCTAAATTTGGCAAATGGATTTGTGCAAGCAAAAATATATTGAAAATGACTACATACACTCGTGTTGCCAAAAAATTCTAATTTCGTTGCGCGGACAATAATTATAATTAAGTCAATATATACTAAAGAACGATTGTTATTTTAAACATTATTTTAAACATGAATAGCTTAACTTGTGCTTATTATTGTATCATTTCCACTTAATTTTTATTAGTTACAATTATACAATTACTGTTACAAGTATCATTTATTATTTCTGTGTAAATTTATGTACATGTCTGATTCTTTCTGCAAACAGTGCGCTGAAATCTTTTACGGTTAATTTAATAATTTTTAATGTAATAAGATCTTTGTAAGAATATTAATAATTTATGTTAATAAGAATCTTAAACCTACGAATAATTTATTGTGAAACATATTGCTTTAACCAATATTCAAATATTCGGATTTTTCGTATTCTGTGCACTATGTGAGAAAAAATTTGATTGGCACACAGACTATAAAATGATTAAAATGTAAATTAAACGATTACAATTCAATTGTCCGTCAGTAAATAGACACATTTATTCGAACTCTAGGTACTTAACTCTTTCTCCACAAAACAAAAGTGATAACGGTTCCAAGTGTTTCAATACCTTCATTTGACATTGCTAAGTTCTGGTTAATATTACCACTGTTTTAAAAATAATAATTAAAATGACAGTTGGTTCATCTAAAACGATTCCTGCATTTTATGCAGGACAAAGTATATTTTTAACGGGTGGAACAGGATTTCTGGGAAAAATATTAATTGAAAAAATATTACGATCTTGTCCAGATGTTCGTGAAATATTTGTATTGATACGTTCCAAAAAAGGATTAACTATTAATGAAAGATTCGAGAAATTATTAAATTTACCGGTAAGTTAAATATAAAAAAAGAAACTTTTTGTAACAATGCATTTTTTTTAATTTTTAAAATGTTTATAATAATATTACATTTAAATATCTGCGGTAATAAAAAATATTTTGTAAATGTTATTGTAATTTTATTAGTAAGGAAAGTTATTTTTGACATTTAGATTTTGTAAATAGTATATAATAAAAGATTTTATAATGCATTTAAAGCAGAGTATTGATTTAAATGCTATTAAATGTTTTTTTTTATTACAAATTTATTACCAAAAATGGCTTTAAATCTTTTATTATAAGAAAGATTTTTTTGTAAATTATAATATTCTTTTATTGCAGATATATGACAAATTGCGCAAAGAGCATTTTTCGAGTTTTGAGAAAATAATTCCAATTTCTGGCGATGCCAGTGAGAAAGAATTAGGTTTATCGGTTGCGGACAGACAAATGCTGGTTGAAAGAGTAACTATAATAATTCATGCAGCGGCGAGTGTGCAATTTAATAATAGTTTAAAATATGCTATATGTACTAATACCAGAGCAACAAGAGACATCTGTATTTTAGCTCAAAGTGTGAAGAATTTAAAAGTAAGTTAAAAAGAATTTCTGAGATAGTATATTTAAATAATTTATTCTATTACTTATTGTTAGTACATTTTATATAATAATTGATATTTCGAATACAATTTTTTTTTAAATACGTGTTATAATATAATTTTGAAGCTTAATAACAATTGCAATGTAATAAATTTATAAAAATATTTGCATGATCGAAATAATGTTCAAAAGTGTCGATAATATAAATTAAACTATTTATTATTACAAAAACTTTCTTAAATTCTTATCTTAAAGATAATTTTTTAGAAAAATATTTTAAATAATGTAATTAATTGCTTTTATCTGTTAAAGGCATTAGTATACATTAGTACAGCATTTGCACATTTCAATAAAGCATTCATAGAAGAAAAAGTGTACCCACCAATAGCTGATTGGCGGAAGATGATCGAAATGGCCGAGACGTTGGACGAGCATACTTTGAACGTTTTTATGGCTAAGTAAGTTACAAAACAAAAATTGTGCTTGTAAATTTTATGTAAATAGGTATATACATATACTAGAACATTTTTTCAACAAATTTTTTTTAACTATTTTATTTAACTATTGTCTTATTTTTCTTGTACTTTATTAATAATGTGTAAATTTTTTATTTTATGTGTTTCTGAAATTATGTACAGATGTTTATATTATGCTCCCAACACATATATTTTTTCGAAGAATCTAGCGGAGAGTATAATACAGGAATATTCTTCCTCCTTGTCTTGTGCGATCATTGTGAGACCATCTATTGGTACGTAGTTTTTTTAATTATTGGAAATATTTATTTTAACATTGTTATATGAACGCCTGATATATTTACATTTTTTGTCTTATTTTATGTTATCTTTGAATAAAGTATTTGTACTAATAGAGTATAATTACTTTATTGAGATGAGATAATACTGAAACACACACACACACACACACACACACACACACACACACACACACACACACACACACACACATACGCGCGCGCGCGCGCCGACAATATTCATTTACCTTATTTGCTAAGTTTTTCACAAGTTTTAAAATGTATTAACCGCGCCTAGAAAGCTTTATTCAATTCTTTCTGCAGATAAATTAGAAGTATGTAATTACTGTTATAACTCTTGCATCCCATATGGATTAAGAGGATCCTAAAGTCATCTGTTTTATTGACTCAATAGAACTTGTAGCTTTAAACGTCATATTAGATTAAAAAATGATAAAAAAGATCTCAATTAAAAAAATTTTTTTGATTCTCCATTTATAAATTTTACCCCTCATATATGGATCAGATGTGCGCATATTTTAATTCTAGAAATGGATTTTCAAATCTATAAAAAAAAAAACAAAAGAAGAAATTATGTTATAAAAATTGTTGCGTTTAATTTGCGATATAAAAATTGTTGCGTTTAATCTGCAATAAATAACTGTAGGATCGAGCAACCTTCATTGTAGTGATTGACCAGCGAGTAAATCATATTACCAGTAAATTAATCATATTCTGTGAAAATAGTTTAATGTAAACCGAAACGTTTGGACAATATTTGTAATTTCATCAATACAATTGTCTTAATTGACACTAGTATCATGTTTGATTCGTTAATTACCTCTTTTACAATTTCTTTAATTTTTAATTTTTTGAACTATTTAAATATTTATTTTTTTTTTTAAATTATTAGTAATCTAACACATTAATAATTTAATTTACAAATGTATTTCGTATTTTAGTGGGGCCATCGCTAGACGAGCCTATTCCAGGATGGATAGATAACGTTTATGGTCCAATGGGGCTTTTCATTGTTGGTGGAAAAGGAATATTACGAGTAGCCTACCTAAATAAAACTGTTGATGAAGATGTGATACCAGTAGATGTTGTCATCAAAGCTACACTAGTCGTTATTTGGAAGCTGATCACGTATGATCATCAATTTATATATGCGAGATATATCTATAATTGTATTAAATTATAAACATCGAAACTTTCTTTCTTTATTGGAAATAATTCAATTCATATTTACAGCATGGCAGTTATACATTTTATTCAATCTATTTTATTAAATCTAAAGAGGAATGCTTAATTTATGTAAACAGATATCTGTATTATGTAATATTTACAGTATATAATTGATATATTTCAGAGATATAATGTTTATAGTATATATTAATGTTTAACGATATTGTATTTACGTTTACTGTAAAATCAAATTTCCAACCTATTTAAATTTTTTTCAATTAAATGTTCAATCGCATTTTAAATATTTATTGCGAAAATAGAAATTATAAATTTTTTTAACGAAAACAATGCATTGGCATTTTAACCTAAGAAAAAACCGCTTTTTACGCGAATGGCTAAACGCATACTAACAGTTCGATTAAAAAACTGTTTATTTTCTAGTAAAATTATTAATGATTCTTCCTAGCTGTTGTAAAATAAAATTAAGTATCTAAAAATTTTTAATAATTTAATAAAATTTTATATATATTTTTGATATTTTATATATATTATTGTGTAATTTGTCTAAATATATTGAATAATTAATTATTGATTGATTACTGATTTGAGATAATTAATAATTAATAATTGATTTGAGATCTGAATATTTGTTAGTTTTCGAAAGTTATTCACACATCTTTAATATTGCAAAAATGTAAAAAATAAAATTTTAAATATTATTTTTTCGTACTATTTTATGCACTATATTTATATGCGGAACGATATTTTTATTACTTAATAAAAAATAGCTCAGTTATGGGTTTCCGAAGAATATCTTCTGAGAGTGGGAGGGAGGCTTCCGCACATTCATTTTCATAAGCAGTAAAAAGTAAACAGTAAGCAAATCAACATTTTTTTATTTGTTATTACTTATGTTATTGCTTATTATGTTGTTCTTAATTATGATTGATTAAGTCGATTAAGGTTTAAGGTCTTACTGCTTACGTTTTTCTGCCATAGTTCTAATATTTTACTTTAACACGTTCATGCCCCACTAATTTATGTGATTCCATATGCTATATGAATCATCAGTGACTGATAGTGCTTTTGCTTTTGAATCAATTATATTTGTTAAATTAACTATATTTCATAATGTATTTTATTAAAACTTACTTAAATTTAATATTATTATAAAGATAGTTTAACCCTTCATGATCACTGTCAAAATGTCAAGGTCAAAATGTCAAATATTATCTTTCATGTTACATTTCGAAATCTTTCTGGCATTGGAAGAACGCGTACCTGCTATCGACTCGAAATTTAAAGCTTCAACTATCGATAGAAATGCTTAATTTTTTAATCCAACTGTTAGTATGCGTTTAGCCATTCGCGTAAAAAACGGTTTTTTCTTAGGTTAAAATGTCAATGTAACCAATGCGTTGTTTTCGTTAAAAAAATTTATGATTTATATTTTTGTAATAAATTGCAAAAATAAGCAAGATGTGCATTGTGCGTGTGCGTGCGTGCGTGTGTGTGTCCTTCAAATAAAAATAAAAAAAACAATGAAGAAAGAATGTTTGTCTACGACCTATGTGTGATAAATACACTCTCTAAATTTAAATCAGTG